TCTTTGAAGAAGCTAAAATTTTAACTTGGCTCTGCTGAAAATATTTATGGTTGCTAAGGAAATAAAATCTGTTCAATCTGCACTCCAATATTTTATCACGACAAAGGCCAAACAAGAAATTCTTGTTATTACACGAAACATTTTTATAAGTAGGCATTTGCATATTATGAAATATATGTAAGCAATTTTATTTTGAAGCACTTTATCATAATGCCAAATTATCCCAGTGGTTTTTAAAGCTTTCTTTTGGTAGCAGAAAAAAAATTTTTTTCTTTTTCCAAACAAAAAGCATAGTAGAATTCTACCATATGGAAAAAAACAAAAAACATATCTTGCTAATGTGGTGGGAGAGGGCTGTAGTCTGCCTGCTTGGGTCCCTTTCAAACCATCTGTTCTCTGCCTCCATTCCCCAAATGCATTGGCCCCTTCTGGCATCTCTGAGAACCACACAGTGCTGAGAAACATTCATGGAATAATCAGCAAACTGCCAAGAACAGAAAAACAATTCTTAATTTTTTAAAAATTACTAATCAGTAAAATATAAAATTAAAACTTACCCATTTCTACTGAAAACTCTTAGCCATGCTTTGATGTTTGGTCCTAACAAACATAAACAAGGTACGGTAGTAAAAGTAGACAAAAGAATCGCAAATGAAAATGTTTCCAACACCAACCTAAAACAAACAAACAAACAAACAAAACTTCATTAATTTCTTAAAAAGTGTTAAAGATACACATATACACACATACAAAATCTTTATCACATGAACAGATTTAATATAAAAATATTTTCTGATATTTTGAAAAGTTACATGAGTCCCATCAAAATGACTATAAATAATCTTACTGCTAAAATACAAACTTTAAAAGCCAATCTAGGAAATATCTAGTTTTAATGATAAATGTCAAAAATGTGAAAAACCCTAAGATTCATACTGAAACTTCCATTTCTGGATGTTAGCTTTCTTCCTCAACAGTCTCTAGAATTTTCTCTACAACCAATGATTCAACTCTTATTTCTAGTCTGTGCTGGATCAGACAAACGCTACCATGTCTGATGACAGAGATCTTGTCCTCTCTCTAAAAAAGAATAAATCTGTTAGTTTAATATATATATATAAACCGAGTGCAGTGGCACATGCCTGTAATCCCAGCAACTCAGGAGGCTGAAGCAGGAGGATAGAAAGTTCAAAGCCAGCCTCAGCAAAAGTGAGGCACTAAACAACTCTGTGAGACCCTGTCTCTAAATAAAATACAAAACAGGGCTGGAAATGTGGCTCAGTGGTCAAGTGCCCCTGAGTTCAATCCCTGGTACTGCCTCCCCTCCAAAATATGTATATATACAGTTATATATATAAATATATATATATAACTGTATACATGGTTATAGATGTGTGTATATGTATGTGTATATATATATATAAAGTAATTTCATCATGATCATTAATCACTGCTAAACTAAAGTTTTCCAAACTGTAATAAACGTTATGTAAGAAATATTTATTAGTCTCCACTGATTTGAAATTGGTTAGTTTTGAAAAAGTATTGAGTTTAATTTGACCTATAAATATTAGCTTATTAACTATTTTAATATAAAAATTTATTGACTTTCCTTAGGAAAACAAACTCTTTCAACTAATTCAGAATCACATTTGTTAAGAACTGATATGTTATAACTAACTTACACATATATGACAGTGAGTTCCCTTAGAGGTCTAAAAGAGACACATTAGCATATTAATACTAATTAGTGTTTTAAATATACATACACACACAGTTCCTCACCTGCCCTCCCTCCTCCCAACATGTATTTAGCATATTAATTAGCATATTAATACTAATTAGTGCTTTAAATATACAAACACACACATTTCCTCACCTGCCCTCCCTCCTCCCAACATGTATTTGGGCAACAGAAGGCTAAATAATAGAAGCATTTAATGAACTAAGTTATGAATTGTTATTCTACTTTTTTAAAAAAACAGTAGAATACAGTGCTAAAGAAGAAAAATTATGTTTTCTCCTGCCTTGATTCATTAATCACACCACAGTTTTCCTAATATTGCCAGCAGAGTTAACATATTGTTTAAGTTTTTTAAAATATGAAGTTAAAAGTAAAAATTTCAAACTTACTCTATTAGTGGTGCTCCATATAGAACAAAAATCACATGAAAGGAAAAGCAAGACATAAGAAAATAGATACAACATTTCAAGATTCTGGTTACCTAAAAAAGAAATGAATAATTTGAAGACTGATAAAGGATAAATTCTTCCATTTTATCTACAAATACAACTTTTTCCCATAATGTGTGAAATAGCTTAATGTTCTAAAAGGTAAATGCCATGCACACCCACATTCTACCCACCCATGAGTCAAATGGATTTCTGTTTCTATAATATGTATTGAGCTATGCTATTAATCCATATTTATGAAATACTTGTTGATAACAGAGTGCTAGAATATAAAATACACACAGTACTTGTTATATAATAATACATGAAATCACTGCAGAAAATAACTTTTTGTTTTTTAATTTTAAAACAAAACTCCTGGGACAACTGCAACACAAAAACAAAATACTATATAATTTTCTAAGCCACTTTCATATTACTGTATGAATCATATGAAAAAAGACCTGAACATCTACAAATAGCACGTAGGACCCACTTGATTTGGAACTTAAGAAGGTATAATTATAAAATACACATTAAGCTTTTAAAACCATATGGCAGTAAAGATGTTAAATTAAATTACCTAATAGAGCTTATATATGATATTGAATGTTAAGTGAGAACTTTATTAAAGTAATAGTCAAAATAGTGAATATTCCAGAAAATTGATCCTAATATCTGAAAACTGTTTAGTCAAGGAAGACCATGTTTGAAACAACAGTTACCACAGTAAATTCTTCTGTAATTTTTGAAAAGCCCACTTTCTTTCAGAAATGTAAAAGTAAATGAAAATGAACTGCAATGTCTTAAAAAATAAGGTTTCAAGGCAGCCATATGTACTTATCTTCAATGGTGATGTAAAACAATGGATTATACAAGCTCACAGTGATATAATATCCACTGAAGAAGTCATAATTTCACAATGAATACACAGTAAGGATCTATCAAACATAGTGGGTACAGCAAGCAACAAGCTACTGATTTGAAAAAAAAAATCAGATTTCTTTACATGCCAACGAGGACAAATACTTTATTCTTTCATTAAAAGAAACACAACTTCCATCCAAAACTTGCTTAAGAAGTAAGCCTTACCTTATGTGATAATGAATTTCTTTTAGAAGATATATTTGGTTTCACTACCAAATATAATACTAGATTGACAGCAGTTACAAAAACAGAACAGATGCACAACCATATCAAGTGTGTTTCCAATATTGAGAAGTTCTCCAAGAATACTGATGGAATGAAGATGCTTAGGATAATTGAAAATATGCATAAAAGATGGGCATACAGTAGTCTCTTGATATCTGTATCTTTCATGGTGTTTTCCTTGGTGGCTATCTAATAAAAAACGAATTAAGAAATATTTAATATTTAAGAAAAACATGTAAATGATTTTCCCATTGTTCTAAATGTTTCAACCTCCAAAATAAGCAATGAGCTATTTACTGTGTTTAAATACATATATTTAAATTACAGAGAGCTTATGTATTATATTGACTAGTATTAAGTGAGGACTTTATATTATATTTGTAAATAGGTTACACTGTGGTGAACATCCCAGAAAAAAAAAAAAAAAAAAGCATCCCGGAAAAACCTGGGATTTGTCCTAATGGTTCTCATTTAATTCACACAAATCATTTTTCAAAGGTGCATACTTTACTGATAAGGAAACAGGATGAACTAGTTAGGTGCCAGATACAAGGTTTCACATGCTAGTCATTTCAACTCCTAGCCTCTTTAATATGATGATACACACCAGGGTTTGGGAAAACAATGGATGGTAAAATGGGACAAAAAAGTTTCTTCAAGATTCTACCCTCCACTGACAGCGGGTAGGGCAGGGGAGAATCAGGAAACCCCTGTGTAAACAGGCTCCTTCTGGGCCACCCTTGGAATCCCGGCTACCAGTTGCAGATGTGGACCCCAAAGAGTGAACAGTTGTGTACAACGAATCAAAATGCATTCTGCTGTCATATATACCGAATTAGAATAAATAAAGAAAAAAAATAAAGGCGTGATCATTAAGCACCCAGGCTCAGAGGCTTGCTGGATGGAGTCGGTGAATTGTGCACCCTTCCTGACACCGGCACTGTCAGGCCTGGGAGTGCCTCCGAGCACGCCTTCCATCGCGAGGCCGCCGCCTCCGCGTTAAGTGCTGACCGGACCCAGGTCTACAGGTGTGGCAGCGGAGAAAGCGCTTCTGAGCCATCCCAGAGCAGCCTTCGCGGGGATGTGGACCTTCAGCTGTAGACCCACCTCAGGCTGGGTCGCTCGGGACACTGCCCCAGCCTCAGTCGGCCGGCTTGTAAACAGAGATAAATTAGTGGAGGGGCAACAATCTAAAAATACAGGCGCTGGACACAAGGGAAAACTGAAGGACAGAGACAGAAACTCGGATTCGAAAGAGGGTCGCTTATCAGAGCAGTCCTTGGGTCACGCCGGAAGGGTGGCGCTCAAGCGGCCGGCCGCCGAGGGCAGGCCGGATCGCGGAGGTTCGCGGCCACTCCAGCAGTTGGCGGGGTGATGTGCAGCCGCGAGAGGTGAGTGTGCCGGGGGCGTCCAGCAGGGCTTACCTAACTGTCCCGCCCGCAGAGGGGAAGGGGAGGCACTGCCTCCCACTGTCAGGTGCGACGGGCTGCCATTGACCCTCGCGCAGGCGCCGGACCCGGAGGTGTAGACCCAGGACCGCACAGCCAATCGCAGAAGGGAGTGGGTGGGGTCAAGAGGAAGCCCCACCCACCTGCTCGCGTTTATTCCTCCCGCGGTTTTCCAGGTGTAGAGTAGGCGGGAATCGAGGGCTTAGAGACGGAAGTAGGTTGACGTAGCCGGAAGGGGACTCCTTCTCCGGCGGTAGTGTTGATGTTTTTGAGTTGCTGCTGCTTCTGCATCTGAGGGAACCGTAGACAGAAGGATGGTGTGCGAAAAATGTGAGTTAAGGACCCGCTTCTGAGAAGGAGCAGGCTAGGAAAACCTGACTGGATTTTATTGGGAACTTGGCTGTGTCTGTTTTCCCACAGGGCTCCGAGTCTAACCTTTGTCCTCTTGCTGTGCCCCTCCCCAGTGTCCATTTAGTCCTATTTATTTTGTGTTCGGAGTGGTCTCTGTTCTGCACCTCTATTTCCGTTTCCTCCCCCTACCCACGAATCTCATCCATTTCAGCTTCTTGACTAGCGCCCTCAGGCTTCAAACGAACCTTCAAAATCGCTTCAGTGGCATCGGGAGTTGCAGGATACAGCAAGGAAGAATCCCGGATGCTCAGTTGACAACAACGAATGATTTTTTAGTACTATGTGCCCCGTGCAATAGTTGAGACGGCTTTGTGTGCTGTTTTTAACTTCAGTAAATGCCTTGTGCCGTGCAGTATTTAATTTAAAAATTGCTTACCTGAAATTTAAATTTAGCTGGGCATCCTCTATTTTATTTGGTAACCCACAGTCAGCATCCAGTCCAATGTCATATAAACCCTTGGCATGAATCCCTACAGCACTGGGACAGGGGAGCCGGGAAGTCTCACCATCTTCAAAGAAGACTATGTTTTTGTTTTATTACTGGAGGAGGTTACTGGGGATTATACTCAGGGGCGCTCCACCATTAAGCCCCATCCCCAGCCCTATTTTGTATTTTATTAGAGACAGGGTCTCACTGAGTTGCTTAGCGCCTCACCATTGCTGAGGCTGGCTTTGAACTCGTGATCCTCCTGCCTCAGCCTCCTTAGCCGCTGGAATTACAGGCGGGCGCCGCCATCCCTTGCTTTTAGAAAGGTCTTTACCCCCTGTAGTTAACCACCCATGATTCTATTGCAAACTGTTTGAAATTTTTAGAAAAGATTTGATTTTTTTTAACCTTGCAATCTATTTATGTTTAAAAACAGCTTTCATATCTCCAAGTCTCTATTTCCTCAGTCTAGATATATCTGGCTCTTTTGTGACAAAGTTTCAACTCCTCTTATTATGCCATTTACTGTCTAATGAACATGATCCATTTTGTTGATATCTCCTCAGTAGGTAAAACTTGAGACATTGAAACCCATGGTTTTCAGTTTTGTATTAAAAAATGTTCTCAGATGAGCCACTTAATATTTCTTGGACTCATTTTCTCACCTGAAAAACACATAATATATGTCATTTTGTGAAAATTAAATAACTTAGACAATGTCTAATACAAAATGGTAAACTTAATATGTACTCGAAAACTGATTATTTCTATCATAACCTGTTCCTTGTGTATGTGGCATTCAGAATTAAACTGCACCATTCTGTGTGGACATAGTGGAGATAACACTTTCCTCTCTTTAGATTACATACCATATACCATTATCATCTTACATTAAAATTTAAAGCCCATACACAGTGACATATGACTGTAATCCCATCAATTTAGGAGGCTGAGGCAGGAGAATCGCAAGCTCAAAGCCAGCCTTAGCAATTTAGTGAGGCCCTAAGCAACTTAGTGATACCTTGTCTCAAAATAAAAAATAAAAGGGACTTCAGTGGTTAAGTACCCCTGGGTTCAATCCCCAACACCAAAAAAAAAATTTTTTTTAATAAAAATAACTGATGTAATTAATACACCATACAATTCACCCATTTAAAATGTGGTTTTTAGTATATTTGCAGAGTTGTGCGATCATTGCCACAATTTTACAACATTTTCATCACCCCCTCACATCATGCTTTTTGGCATTGACACCTTTACTGCACCCTTAAGCAGTTTTGGGGTGGTTTTGTGTGTTAGATTAAATGTCTTTAGATTTTATTCCTGCTCTGGTGTCTTTTATGTTGTAGAGTTTTTAAATATTTAACTTGGGCTTTATTTGTAATTTTTGTCAGTTTTTACTTGAGGAGATAAGAATTCTGCCTGGTTTTACTTGTTTATAAATCTTTTTATAATGTAAGTACTTTGTCCCAAAGGAAATTAAGAGTCCTGGGAATTTATGAGAGTTACTTTCTCAAGGCACATAAAATTTTTGAGAATCCAAGATCCAGAGTGGTTATTGAAATAAAATTGATTTATTTGACTCTAGAGTATGATATGTGTTATGAAGGTCATTCCCTCTTATTACTACTTTCTACCTCTCTGCTTTCCTGAAAAGTCTAACATTCCATTGTTTTTGATCTCTCAGTTAGTTTGTTCCACTCACCCTATAAGTAAACTTAGATTTCTTTCATACATTAAACAAAACAAAACAAAACTACACTTTTCAGCTTTCCCTTTTACACTCTTAACTGTCTCTTTCCTGGTACGTTAATTTTTTTAAAGACTTGGTTTTGTTTATTGTCTTCACATTTTCAAAATTATTTCTTAGCACTTTACAAACTGACTTTCTACAAAACACTGAAAAAAGTGTTTCAGAAGTTTTCCAGTGATCTCCTTATCACCAAGTTCAAGAGCTTTTTTTTTTTGGGGGGGGGGGGGGGTTCTTATTTTATTCTCCAACGTGTTTGGCTTCAAGTAGCACATCCATTCCAATGAATGTCTACTTCACATCTCCAGCCTGACTTTGCTCATTCTTATGCAGGAAGAAATAATCCTGGCTATTTTGGAGCCTCACATTCAGGACTCTTTCCAATAAAGCCCCACCATATCTCTCCAGCCTCATATTCACTGACCCTTACCCTCTTCACACTTGAGCCAGCCAAACTACTTTCTGTGCTCGTGTGTACCCTGAACTTTCCATGCCTTTCCTTAGGATGCATCCTTTCTCTAGTTTAACTTCATCCTCTTGCTTCCTTTTTCACCATCCCATTTCCATATATTGAAACCCTCTCTGTAATATTCTCCACAAAGCATTCCTGAGCTTCCCATAATCAGTTATTTCTTCCTGCATGGAATTTCTCTTACTACTTTAGTACTTAATTTATTTTAGCTCACAATTATACTTTTTATTTTCCAGCTTATATTTTGGGTTGAAGTATTCTTAACTATTTGGAAGTCTCTGGTCCCCCTGAGACTCTGATGAAAGGTATAGACTTTTACTGAAAAAAAAAAAAAAAAAAAAAAAAAAAAAAAATA